CATAATTCTCCTTCCAACTCCCAGGGCAGAATTAAAATGGTTTGGATTTTTTTCTGGTTAGCGTTTTTTTTGTCAAGTTAGTTTTTTTGCTGGGATGGGGTCGCCAACCCCATTTCCAACCCTCCTCCTTTATCCGGGCTTGGGACCGGCAGTAGCCCCTAAGGTTCTACTGGCGGAGTTAGATACTCTACACTGTTAGTAGATATACCAGAACCACGGGCAAGGATGACTTAACATAAATGCTTAGTACCAATAAGGTACTATAGTTTCACAGGCTATACAGTTATCCTTGTGTCATTCCTGTGTAACAGACTGTGTCGACTGAGCCCCAGGACGCCTTTTCCTTCTATTTTTGTTTAGCGTACTAGTATTTTTATGAATATGATTCAGAGGAGTCTGCTTGAGATCTAGTGGAGGTGTTTGGGTTGATTGATTCGAACTATGAACACTACTCTGAAGAATATTTTCGAGTGATAGTTCGAGTGTTTTTGCAACCCTGTCGCTGGAGACTGGGATGTTCGACCCACTGTTGACCCCAAGGTTCATAGCTCTGCAGGTTTTACTGGTTGTTATAGTGTAAGACGTTTTAGCAGCCTTATTACTTAACATGATATCAGAGAGATTTAGAGGTAAAAAATGAGATAACTGGGGGAGAGAAAAATGCGCAAAACATGAGTTTTGGAAGGAAGAATTAAGTAGTTTATAAATATACCTACGAAGGAATAGAACCTGAAAGTACTCCGAAATCGCAACTTTACCTTTATTCGTTCCAGTAAGTAACTTTGCATGCATCCACTAACTTGACCACAAGTCCTGCGTTCTTGAGAGAATGCATTTATGTAAGCTTCCGGAGCATCTAGTAAGAGAACAGTAGATGAATACTGGCAAACAGTGAGAGACAGCATCCAGAATGCTGCCCTTAGCAATGTACCTCAGATATAACAAGCGAGATATATAAAATTAGTGATATGAGGAGATGGCAATAATAGCAAGCAGACACAGCTTGTCCAAGAGGGAGACGATGATCCCTATGTGAGTACATGTTTATCAAGTCTCTTAAAACTGTCCACTTAGGAGGCTGAGGTCACCTCCACTGGGAGAGCATTACAAGTTGCAACGACTCTTAATGAGAAAAAGTGTGCACTAACCTGAGTATTTGCTCTTAGATGAGCAATTTTTCGAGGATTGACCCGATGGGAGTTGTGGTGATGCATCAGTAAGATGCCCACGTCTGGATGATTTGGCGTGCTTGATAAGTTGTAAGTTATAATCAGATCACCTCTGATTCCCCTGCAGTTTAATTGGAATAATTCTAATTGCAGGAGTCTATCTTCGTAAGGTTTGTTCTTCAACGCCATCACCCATTTCACTGCTCGTCTCTGCACTTGATACAAGAGATTTATGTATCTGTTAAGGAGAGGGGGTGCGACGACGTTGTGAACATCCAGGTGTGGGCGCGTACGTCTTAAATAACGTTGAGAATAATTGTGGGGTGATAGCACTAAGTCCTCATCGCATCAAGTGTAGAGTTACATTTGCCTTAGATGCGTCCCCTATATAGTTTGGACTTGTATGGAGGCTTTCCGTGGCTAATAAACCGAAATCACTCTCTGAGGAGACATTAGGGAACGGACTTCTATTGTGATGAGAAGTTTGAATTGACATGACTTGCCTTTCGAAAATCCATGTTGAACTTCACGGTGTGTTCCGTTTGAATCTTTCTGCTCCCTCATTTTCTCATTCATCACTTGTGTTGGAGTTTCAATTTTTGAGCTGAATAGTTTGGTAGTGAACCTTTGATTGTTCTCCTGAACGTCATCGGAATAAACGTCACTTAGAGGCGCTCCCATAAATTCCTCTAATCAAGTTTTCTGTCACCTCAGTAAGTTGGTTCCTGTGTGCTGTTTCAGCTTTGAAATGGCAGTTAATATATATAGCCATTCCACCTGTCTTATGTACATTATCTCATTGGAAAAGCATCGTGCTTTGCTAGCTCACTTCATAGTCGGCAAGCCGGAAGATAGCTATGTTTCAATTAGGATTATGATCAGATCTATCTGAGAGCACATGTTCTTGATTTATAACAGCTTACCCCTTAGTCTTCTTACGTTTCATTAGAGACACTTGGTGGTTGGTTTCAGCACCTGCTGCACCTCTGGAGCAATGGCTGTTGTTGGATTCTCAAACAAGTTGTTCTAACCGAGTTAGCCAGTCCTGTATAAACTGAATGCCTCAGGTTTCTTGCTTGTGTAGTGTATTCAGTTGGCAAGACTATGGTCTTTGTGTTTAGTGACGCAAGTTGTTGATCGGGGCCTACCCGCCGATGTCCCACAGATGTGTTGGCTCTCGCCTAAAGGGCTGAAGTGTGATCTTCCGGGTTTCTGAAGTTGACAGCCATCATTTGTGCAGACCTGATAGTCGTAAAGTGTGACAGACGATGCAGTCTGTAAGTCCTGATTGCCATAGTGCTTATTAGGCCCATGTTACGTGATAATGATCGTAACTGTGGCACGTCATTTACATGAGCCTCACCTTAGCTACTACTGGCCAGCTCAGGCATGCTGTGAACTACTATACTGGTCTACTCCTGGGTGCCTTTTGATGTTTTGGCAGCAGCTCATACTGATCACGGTTCGTCATGCCTGAATCGGATCGGGGAGGGTGGTGCAATCGAAATGTTAGGAGGATTTCTCCAGAGAATTGTGCCGAGTCTAAAATTACTCTCAATGAAAGCGGTTTAACTTTGGCAACATTCTGGCCATTGAATAGACTGCTTAGTTTGTCCAGGGAACTTCTAATTCCAAGCTTTAAGCACTATTTGTCCTACTGATTTTCAATAAAAGCAGCTCTACCATCCGGAAAGTTACCCGCCGACACCACAAGATTAAATAAAATTAGTGTATTTTGCGTTAAGTTCCTGTCTCTGATTTTTAGCGACTTATTAGCTTCTGTGTTCTAGTTTTCCTTTCTTACACTGTCTAACTGTTCCGTACTATTGACGGATACTTATGATTTTGTAACGACTGGCAGTTTCGCCTGTATATTGGTTTTGGTTGCTGCCTGTTTCTCCCATTCTTATTTTGCACAGTGGTCTTTTTAGGAGTACAAATCTGAAAGAGAGTGGCGTCTTGGTTTCTTTGCTGAAGGCCCAATTAAGGTGTTTGGGTTACGTAGTCTGAATTATGCACATTACTACTACGTACAATACGGAGTGACGCCTTGGTTTACTTCACAATTCTGTCAATGGAGACCGAGAATATAGACTCGCTACTAAGCTTGCGATTCAGACCTCTAAACGTTTTTCTGTTTTTTATGATGTAAGAAGTGATCATATTACTTAACAGATTTAGAAATTCATGACAGAAACTAAAAAGGAAAGTTGGCGAGGAGTAAATTTAAAGGAGGGAAATAAGATTATTATGATGAGTGAATACAAACTACGCGAGAATAGAACCCAAAAGTCACCCAGAAATGGAATGTTACCTTTAGCCGTACAGTAACTTTTCTGGAAGTCGTGTGCTTGCGAGTGATTGGTATGCTGCCAGAGCAACTAAAAAGAGTATACTTGATCGAGAAAGCTGGACCTACAGCACATTATATCTGACTTGGAATGATTTCGTTTGTCCGAATTGTTACTTTGACTGTCAAACAATGCAGAGTGTCAAAGTTTATTTCTTGGAGAATATTTAATGTCCCAAATTGGTGTCGTAACCTTGATTTTTTTATGTAAATGTTAGGAAGTCAACGAGGACGCGTCAATTAGGGGCTCCTGTATTCAGTAACAGTGAATCGCTGATGCACATTGTTATATTTACCATGCTAAAGAAAGATTTTCGTGATTAATAGTTAAGTGCTTTTCAGATAACTTAGGCATATGTCATTTCTCGAAGGACTACAAGAAAGTCATTTGTACCTCACTGTATAGCAAAGAATTTTAAGATTTAACTACTTCCAAACAGTACAAGGTTTGCTTAATCTCTGCCGTGCTATTCTGTGTCCTTAATTACAAATATAAAGTTGAATACTAAGGGATGGCTTTTTTAATTACATCACGTTTTTTATGTAGCCAAAAGACCACACCGTAGTAGTAGTGTTTATTTACTTAATCTCACTCTCAACGCAAATGTTGGCCTAATTACCTGGATACTACATACAAGACGTAGAAAAGTGACTGCAGGCATACCTCTTACCCTCTGCGAGCAGTAGATTTCTGGATTTTGATACTGATTTGGGTGGTAAACTAGAATTCCTCAAGTTCTTCAAGGGGAACGGACATATTTTTATGTGCTCTGGGCAGAATTTCGTTGTAATTCACCAATTTTTATCTTTTACTCGTTGGATACACCTGGTTTTATACCTACAGGCGTCGGTATTACATTGTTACTAGAAATAGAAATCTTGATCTTTACCGTCTATTACGGTTTAACAATTTGCGATAGATTTACATGCTTGGCGAATTATATGTAGGCAATACTAACTGTAATTCCATTCAGGCTTAGGTTTCAAGAAGCATTTATTCTTTAATATATCTAATTCGCCACCAAAATTTTATGAAAGATTATGAGGAATCAAGTTTCAGTGCACTAAAGGTTGCCGGTTTACGGGAAGCCTAAAATGTTGAAATAGATCACGTACGCGCAGTCACTTTAAGAGAATCCTAGAATTTATCAATATCACGACCTGGAGCTATGTGGTCGATCGTTGAAATTTTCTACGGTTTCTCTTTTGTTCCAGTTTTACAAACGTTAGTTTCTCGGAATTTGTGAATGGTCATAATTTCGAGATCTGAATTTGAATACGGTACCATTTAATATCAACTCTATTTCTTATACAACTCTCCGTTACACAGAACTGTATTACTCACCCAATGAGTGACTGTTACCAATGATAAAGTTTTTTTGCCATAAGAGGCGTTTAATGCACTCTTTGTTGTACTGCTTGACTTTTCTGGTTAGGTCAAAAATAACACAGCGCTAAACTCAAACTTTTCGTTTGGTCGGATGTTTGATTTATGTATCAGGTATCGGGTCTGTTTGCATAAATTGTCTTCGCAACTTTTAGCAACATAGTAACTGTTCTTTTTGTTATTTTCAGGGACATACACCATACAATTGAGTATTACATATTGTATGAGCAAGGTGATCACGGTAAGTCCTATGTTCAAAATAGAACATTCGGGAAGTGTTGAGCAATGTCTAATTTCTCTGTCTCATTGACACATGTGCATTTTAAAAATTGTGTTCGGTAATTTTTTCACTATATGTGTGAGTGGTAATCGAATTTAAATGATTTATTCTATCTTATCGAAAACTTGCTTTTAATTCTATTCATAATTTCGAGTTGTGGCTTGAATGGCTAATGAGAGTCACGCCCGTTCATCGTTTATAATATCACCATACTAGTTATTTAAAAATGGTTTATTCACTACAACATGTGTAGTGTGTACTAAATTTGCCTTATCTTCATGAATTTGTTTTAAAGTAGACGTATTTCAGTGGAGGAATTCGTGATTGTATTCACAGATGATAGAGGCACATTGGAATTTGTTTTCTGTTACCAACCAATATATTGGATCATTGGAATGTACTCATTGTGTGTGGGAAATTTCGTTGATGCATATTCTGTTAAATTCTTTGTCATGCATGACCTATAGGCGTGTGATCCTTTTCATGTCATTTTTAGTATTTAGTTTTGGATGAGTCGTATCTATTCATTTCCTCTTTTAAAACTTCACGCCGTGATTCTAGTATTTGTCAGTGTAGTCTCCAGAGCAATGGTAGTCGTAATTTCTTGATGAAAATAAGTAAATTCTCAGTTTCAGTAGGTACCTTAGAATGTTCGATCATTTCTGAAAGTAGATGTCAGTTCTGTCAGAGTTGGTATGAAAGACCAGTAATTTATATCTAATATTGAAGACCTTTGTCTGAGCAGTTTTAAATACTCATAGTGTTAAATTCGGATAAAAACCAAATTATAACATATTGGTTGTAAAATCAAATTCTTTAGGCTCACTCTAAGTTTCGATTTTTATTCATCTTACTTTACAATTTAACGATTTCTTTTGAAAGAATTGTTGTAAACATTCGTGAATAGTAAAAGTGTTTTCAAGTTTGGTTTGAGTAGGAAATATAAATTACTTCAATAATATTTCGCAAAGTTTAAGCATATTATTATTACGTTATTAATATTACGCTTTGTGTATCATTATCTTTACATGTTTACTTTTCGGTGTTGATTCCCCTCGTGAATTTTGGTCATGAGGCTTTAGAGATTTAATGTATTGCTAAGTAGTTTGTACATAAAATAAGAGACTTTGCATATTTTATAGTCAAACGTAGTGCCTATCTGTGCGATTTTCCTCTGATTCTGTGAAATTGTCATAGCTTTGCTCCTAAACTAAAATAAACTATTCATATGATGCAATACAAATAAAGATAGAATCTATTTTCAAACATTTGTTTTCCATATAGATGTTCAACTAAATTTTTTTAATATCATCCATCAATATTCATTATACTTTCTAAACACAAGAAATTCGATTGCCGTCTGGGGATAGTTTTTTAGAAGACTCTACATGATTGATCACACTCTAATTTTGTTTAGCAGAGGTTTAGTTTCATGAGCGTTTTTGTGTCTGAATACATAAGAGTTTTTCAGTAAGCATAATTTTCCAAATTTTTGCATAATGTTGTTAATAATTGTAACGTAACACGTAAAGCAAACTGCAAATCCTACTGATAAAAGCTACGCAAATGATATGCTGTATAGTCGTCAGCCGATTTAATTTTCACAATAATTTGATTTTTATAATACTGTACAACCAAAATATTGATGAGTGTATTTAAATGCTCATTTTCATGGTTTAGGTGAACAGATTTCATTAGAATACTACAAAATGATTCGCTAGGCCTCAATTTGTTGGAGTACTTTATTTATTCCATTTATTTGATTTCTTTTTTAATATTCCAGGCCCAGCTGTCAAGAGATGCTATCCCAGTAATCTTTCTGACGTATTCATTGAACGCATCATCGAGTTTGCGTTTTGTTGTGATGAGTAGGGTGTACTAAATTTGCTTTATCTTCATGAATTTGTTTTAAAGTAGACGTATTTCAGTGGAGGAATTCGTGATTGTATTCACAGATGATAGAGGCACATTGGAATTTGTTTTCTGTTACCAACCAAACGAAAGGTTTATGCTTTGCATTTCAAGGTAAGTGGTGTAGTTTAATTTTTATTGGTGAAAGTTCTTAATAAAGTGTTGAATATTGTATTGTTTAATTTAAATGTTTAAGTTACATACTTTCTTTTTTACGCCTAAGTTAGCGGATGTTTGATAAAGTAGCATCAACTAACCAACAAACTGAAGTGACATATAATCAAACATAGTGGTAGACTATAATAACAAACTTGGCTCATTCCATGGTTTCAACACATGCGAGCAGCTCTCTAAAGTGACAAATGGCTTACACTCTACCTTTTTGAGTTTTCCAGTAGATTCCTTCTCATTTGGCTGATATGAAGTGTTTCTACCCTAATCAGATGTATATTTGCACCTATTCTTTTGCTGTTCATTTGGTTAGTTCTATTGATCGATAATTTTCTGTCATAGCATTCCGTTTGTCACTGTAATCCTCGTGTCTTGATTTACTAGAAATATAATAAAATACAAAAATTTTGCTTCTCTTCATTGGTATGACGGTTATTCTCTACTTCAGTAGTTAATGGTTAATTTCGGTTATAACGTTTGTCAAATTACTTAGATGAGTTAATCCTTTTAGCAAATTTGTAATGATTATGTTTTAAGTTCAGAACAGTATGGTTAGACTCTTCCAGAATCTAATTATCTCACGTAGTTTTTCGAAATTTGAAGTTTATTCACCAACTCCCCACTAGTTAAGGTCTCTCACTTTCGTTATTTATAAACAATTTTAAAGTATACAACAGTGTGTATTATTTTTTCTCTTATCGTTCACTAGCAAAACGTACTTTCGATGTCAGATATACTTGCATTTGTTAAACCAGAGTCCATGTTATCTACATTTGACTTGCATATACTACAGCTGACAGAATAGAAATATCTGACTACTGCTAAATAGTTTTAATGCAGCACACTAACTAATGATAAATTTAAACGCTTTTCTCAAGTTTAATCTGTATCTTTGTTCGTCTTATCAAATTACGTGAACTAAGGCTTAAAATTATGATATACTGAAGAATGTTGAATCCTTGGTTAATCTCTCCACGAGTTAAACTAATCTGTAATTGAATATCGACTATATCGCTAATAAATTATAGTTTACATTATGTCTATTATTTCAGTATTTCTGTAGGCTTAGAACCATTTATTTACATTTGTTCAGTTATCACTACCTAATTGACGTAAGAAGGATATTAATTGGTTGTCTTTCTTTTGCATTATACTGTATTTTGTTTAATTTAGCAAACTTCCATGGTGTGAATGTTTTCATTCTCTGTTAAGTATTTTATGGCATCATGGTCTTTATCGTGATGTACACTGGTCTATTATGGAGCCATTCTTCTCTCATCTACGTACTAGTATTCCGCCCCATTTACCGATCGATCGTATTCAATGTGCGAATCCGTTCAACCCGTCTATGGTATGTTCAAACAAATTTATTTTCAAAGTGAACTTCGAGTTTTTGGATTTTATCCAAAGATTTGGAGTTATTTGATATAAATTCCGCCTCACCTAATTTTTTTGGATATCCAGAGGGTCTAAGTGGCTTTACTACGTGTTATAAAAAATATCCACCAGGATAAACTTACTTATTTGATGAAACGGAGAAATACAAAATATCCTAATCACGTTGAAATCAAAGTAAACTTTATCATATTAGATTATTTTATGAACTTAGTATTTTTTTGCCATGAAAATTCCACTTAATTAAAGAAGTAAATCTGTAATTGATATGGCGTATATAAGTCCAATACAATGTAATTTTGGACAATCCTCAAACTACTGAATAAAAGTCACTGTCATCAATATTTGTAGTTTAAATACTATTAATTCGCTGTCACCAACCAAGACGTTTATCTAGTATATGGAATAAAACTTATCTGAGCCAATTATTTGAACTGTTTTTCATGATGGCTATTATTACTGCTAATCTGTGATTGATGTACTCATAGTGAACAGGTATACCCGACTGACGAATCCCAAATAGGATAAAACTAGCGTCCTTGACTTAACCGAATCTCGTTAGTTATCATGGGGCTTATGAGAACATTTGAAATGAATTTCAGGAAGTAGATTTACTGAAGATGTATTGTAAATCCTATTTTAAGATTATCTATATTTTTAAAATTTTTCAACGTTAATTTTACAAGAATGTAGATACTCTTAATCAAAATAAAGTGAATACTCGTTGCTAACACAATGTATTATGTAAATTATTGTATCTAAAAATTAACAAACCGATATTTAATTGAAATTTCAGGGTTTTTTACTTCGAATTCCAACACCTCAATCTCCACATTACTTGGTAAGTTGTAATATGTTCATTTACATTATAACGTTTTAATAGAACTACATTATAGAATATTACAATGCATTGGATCTTTCATTGTGGATTCATATATTTGTAAGGTGAGAATCTTTTCTACCATTCGAAATATTTTAAACCTATCTGGGTGTGTGGGGGGGGGGATAACTAATGGGCAGACAACAGTCTTTTGTGATTAATTTTGAATTTTTTTTGAATTGCCGTCTTTCTCTATCGCATGATAAAAGCGGTAAAAATATAGTGTTATGTTAAATAAAGTATAGTTTTGTACTGGTTGAATACTTAGTTTGTAATCTGCTTTTGATTGAATTTCAAACGGTATTGTTGAACTGTTATGCGTCTGTCTGTAGTTTCAACACAAAATGAAAGTGCTTGAGTTCTTAGTATTGCGTCAACTCAGCTCATAATTAGAACATAATTACTAAACTAGTTTTCAAAAATAAAAGATTATGAAACCATATTTCAAATCTTTTCAAAACGACTTTATTTTGGTTCTGATTGAGATTATTTAGCATTTAAATTATGAAGCATAAATCAGAACCTAAACAAACCTATAGTTGCTGCTGTAAAATGTGCTCGAAATAGTCTTAACAGAATGTTCATAAATTGACTTTCTATCTTACACTTAAATAAATATAAAGACATGTGTAATTGCTTCAGCAGTTATGGGTTTTTCTAAAAGGATTTGTTAGATCAACCTGCTGTTCAAACATAGAAGCATAACTGTGACCCACCAATAGACAATGGAATGCTCTGAATTGTTCATTCGATCCGAATCTGTTATTAGGTGTTATCTTAGTTGCATTTTTGCTCATTCTTTTGTAGCTTACTTTTGGAGCGAAGTTTACTTTTCTGTTCAAGACGATTAACAAAGTTAACAGCTTGCGCTTTAACTGCTGTTTCATTGTTGTATCCGATTCAATGGTAAGTCGGTATTATAAAATTGTTCTTTCTTTCTTCTTTTTAAACAAATTTTGACTGATTCATGTTCATAATAATGTGGTGTTTTGTATCACGGAGAGTTATTTCACTCCATCTTTAAATAACTTATTAGTGCTCACCCACGAATTCAGATGAGATCAAGCTCAACCATTTTTTGACAGACGTTGTAAATACAAATGATTAGACTTTGACTCATTGGTTCACAGGTGATATGCCTATTTCGAAACCTGAAGGCACTGCGCCTGATCTTATGTATCCTTTATGTACGCGTAATGCTTAAAATCCCGAAACTAGCGCAAGATAGTTTAGGGAATTCACTCACCAAGGACAGGATTGTGAACAGTTACTTGTAAAAACGCGTGATATTATCTGACTCCTGGAACTAAAGTTTTTGAAGCAGACTTCAAACCGATTACCTGTTGGTTGACAGTTGATTGTTTTGAAAATTAGGCCGCCACTCCTTTTTCTTCAGTTTAATTTGGTTATTGTTTTTTGGATGTTTTGGAATACATTATTCACTTTCACATATTTGCTAAGAAAGTAATCGCATCCGTTTGTTTAAGTGTTACATTATTCACTTTCACATATTTGCTAAGAAAGTAATCGCATCCGTTTGTTTAAGTGTTGTTCAGTTTTCCTACATTCACGTAGTTTTATTTGATAAAACCCTATAGAAAATATCTATACTTTATTTTCGTGTGTTTCAAAATCAGTAAACTAATGCATAAACCTATTCTTGAGAAATTGCATTGATTCATAGTAATAAAGATCGATTCTTGGCTGACTGTTTGTCAGGTTTTCTTTCCTCATTTTTCTTCACTTCTGTTTTTAAAGCAAATTTATGATTGGCTGAAGTTTTTTTGTTAATTTTATTCCTATTGAATAATAAGGATTTGATATTCGGTATATGTTTAATAGAGCATAATTGATTGCATCAGGTTGGATAAGTTTATTCTAACTAATTGACACTCACCAATGCCATTATTCGCCAACTTTTTTTAATGTATTGAATATTTGATTGTTTTTGTATCTTTTCATCACGGTAATGCATTTGGTTGATATCACTAAACGATATATTAGACGGAGATGTATTGAAAATCATAGAAGGGTAGTGAACAGTTGTTTAGTCGTAGTTTGTGTTTTTTTATCAGAAGTTCACATAGATGAACTTGTCTGGGACAGAATCGATTACATTGCATAGTGGTTTGACTGATACTAAAAGTGTGAATTTTTGGATTCCAATGATATCGTACTCTCAGTGGAACCTAGAAATCATAGACTGAACTAAGATGAGCTTTTGAGTATGGTTTTAGTGATAAGAAACAACTTCAAATTAGACAATCTCACAAATCTCCACTATATTGGGATAAATATTAATCGAAGTTAAACCTTTGGAATGGTTCTATCTGGTGTAATTGTCTATATTTTTGTCGTTTAATTAATAAGTGCTTAAACTATTGTATTGTCGTATCCCTATTTCTCCACCTTTGGTTTGATGCATAAACTATTGCTGTGTGTTTTACCTTTGCCAAGTTAGTATTAATTTGTTACAGGCTTCTTACTCAATTTTATTTCACCTATGGCATATTTATGCCCGTATTTTAATTTCGTAATTCTGTTGATGTGTTGTATGAGTTATAAATTTGAACTGTACGATTAGAGGTTACCTGCTCTTTGTGTTGGGTTATGTTCTGGCTATTGAACGAACCAGAATAGGAAGTGAGTTCTGAACTAGTGGTCATTTAGTGTTACTCCCAGCAATTACCTGGATGCCAATATGTCATAGATTAGACAAAGGTTATTGATATTAGACAGAAAGCTTGGGTGTATTAATCAGTGCCCGAACTAGATCAATACAACTGCTCTCTTGTCTTATGACTGAATTATACGAGCCCAAAGATAACTAGACCAAAAAAAATCTTGGTTATTTACACCTTCACATCAATATCGTACGTTGATAATATGTGATGTGATGTTAGTTGTTAGATGTTTTCTCAGTCAACAGAAGTCTTGAATTCGATCTTAAGCTTCTCACTGTTCTGATTGAAAGTGTAATAACGCGGTTTAGTGCACATATATGCCAAGTCCTGAATCAATAAATGAATGTAGATAATACAGTGTTTGTATTAATTTTCTTTGTAAATATCCATCGATAATAATTCTTGACATGTTATTTAAGTTTTTATTCGCATTAATTTTTTTGGTAACCGTTTCAATCTTTGGTTAGTCATATTTTGTAGTTTAACGAATAGTTCATAGTCATAATTTTATGGTTTTCGCATGTTTTGTCGTTGATGTCAGTTCTATTCAGTTAATGAGAATTGAGCTAGTTAATTAATGGTTGTGTGGCTTTTCTATTTCTTTGTTTTGAATTGCTAAAAATATGTCTATTGCTACTTGTTCGGTTAGACGTGGTGGAGGAGAACGCACTCCTAATAACGTTTTTGTTTATTCTACCATTTTAATCTAATATTTCTAAATCAAACAGTCATTTATCTACTTCTCTTTTGTCAACCATTATTTCTGTTCTCATAGTGATTCTATCATTTTGAACAATGTATTCACTCAAATAGCCAACGGTGATTGAGTTGCTTTTTCATTTATATAAGTAACAAAACGACTTGTTATGATGTGCACTCTTCAGAAAGAGATGTTAGTTATCTAGATCTCTTAAGTAACATTGATCTTAGTGTTTTATTGAAGATAACAATCATATTTTTTGTCTTACATGCCTCTCACTGTGATGTGACTGATAGTCATTATCGATTTAGCCAGTTATTCCTTGTAATAATTCGAAGAATAAGTTCACTGATATCTTTCTCTATAAAATAGGGATATTTGAAGATATAATTCTTGAAGGTTCCTTTCTCTCTCTAGTAACCATAATCAGTTTGATACGTTGGTTGATCTCAGAACTTAGTTTCTAAAGATACTGAGTGTGTATTAAAATCCAAGACAAGTAAAACTATCTGTGTAGAAGTGGATCTGTCTAAAAAAACGTTTCTTCATATCAGGTTCATTCAGTGTGGGAATTTTTATCGCCTCCACCTTTGATTGATATACCTCATACGTTTTGAAATTTTATCTCAAGTTTTGCGCCGAACTTGTTCGACAGATTTTGATCCTGTTTTATACTCATGGATATTTTTGCTGAATCGAATGCACATTTGAGTTAAGTGATATTGAGGAGTAGGGATAAACTCTAGGTTATCACTTCGACTGAAAGTGTCGTACTCATTAACAAAGACCTTGCTTTCGTTCATTTAGTAACTAAGATGTACAAATTATTGTTGGGACGGCTCCCAGGAAGTGTGATGAAGGCTCTAGAGGCTCTCAAGAAACAAAAGAGATTTTATCTAGTGACAGCCTGATGGGATTTCTAGAGTATCAACGTGGTATCCGGTCACTGTGTAACATCACTGTCTGCGTATTGGTCGGTTGTAACGGTGTTTTTACTCCATACGAAAAACTATAAATGCACATGGTTTCCCTGTACGTTTCGATAATGACTGAAGTAAATATTTCTTCAGCTTCCTTCTTGATTTTGTATTCAGTTTTACCCGTACAAAGTAACAATTTTGTAATAATTCTTTCTTTGGGTGTGACTTTTGCTATGTTGTAATTTTTCTTTTAACTTGACTGACTTTACTACGCGTTACAAGTGCGTAGCAGAATGGAGTAATATTTCTGTAGTAGAAAACTTCATTGTTCATGTCTTTCTGTATGTACACATTTATTGATACTGTGAATAGTAAAAGCTTTAAGGCGAAAATAATTTCTGCTTCATTATGACAAAAGAACTGTTTCTACTCCACCCTAGTTTTCGTTATCTCTCTGGCTTATCGCCACCACTAATCGATTGGATTTTATTCATAACAGTCTAAAGTTTAATAATATCACAATATCTTGTGTATGTGTGTTGTGTTTTGTGCAGAAGTTGTTGACTTTGTCACTAAATTACAAATTGATTTTAAAGGTGAATCACAAAGTTCAATGTTGATGAAAAAACTTGATCATGTGATTTGCCAAGGTACTTTTGTTAAGATTTTTACAAGATTTGAGAGTAATTCTGATGAGAGCTTAAGATCGATCAATTTAATAATTACTTTTCAAATGTTAAAGCGTCTTATGTTATTCTACCATCCCTTTGAATTATGTATTATTATAAACATTTTCGAGTCTTTCCAATGTTCAAAATGATGATTTAAATAGTAGTAATTGAATAGACTAAATAATTATTCAATTTACTGTTTGACAGAATCATTATCTCAATGAAACCGACCCCTGGTAAATATTCACGAAAGATATGAGAGTATAAGTCACAATTTTTTTTGTTGCAAATATGAATCATTACAAAGTCAAAATTATCCGTCTTAGTGATTGCGCAAACATTCTGAATGGAAAGTGATTCAAATAGATATTGTTCATTCAATGTTCAATAAAAAAAAACGATCATTTCTTAGCTCTAGTTATCTGTTAAAATAAGGAAACTAAGTTTGTATACATTGGTTTTCATAAATGAAGATCAGCACTTATCGTTTAGTAGTTAGTTAGTTCAGTCATATTTGTTTGGATTTGGATTATTTGAATTGATAAATAGCTGACTACTATTTTTACGAGCTATTTACATTCCCAATGATTATCGGTAATAATCAGAAATCAATTTCTAGCATTAGCATTCAATTGTTGACATACACATTAGAAGTTCAGCCCTATCGATCATCATTTCAAACTTTAGAGCATTATTTTCCGAATCAATTAGTCACAATAACCATTAGCACGTTAAGTTGGCATGATATATTTTTTAGAACTTTTTTGAGGTTCACACTTAATGTCTGTTGCTACTCACGACGGATTTAACTAACTTTCTTTGGTTAAGACAACACACACATATTCTAAGTTCTACTAATCAGTGGGGATATCTAACATATAATAAATGCTCAGTTTAATTCTTTATCAAGTCTAATAATTTATGAACGATA